GGGGGGGCGCGGCCCCCCCCCCTCGTACGCCCCTGTCAATGGTCTGCAGGATATTCAGGGACATGCTAGGCAGGCACAGAATAATCGCCTACAATCACTTTAAAGTCTGATCTGAATTCTAAGGAGGTCACCACTGTAAGAGTTTGGTATATATTCTTTATAAACGAAGAAAACCTAATAAAAAATGTTGGTTAAATCTTTTTTTAGACAGTAATTTATAAAGATACGTTTCCTTTTGGTCTACAAATACTGCACAAACATGGTCAATTATGTTTTTTTTTAAATGAGGCAAATAAAGGTTTTTGGCAAATAGTAAAACAAAAATATAAAAGGTGTAATCTGATTTTCCATCTTCAAACTTGAAAAAATAGATTCTAAAATAAATACTCATGCAGTGAAAATCATATATATAATTACATTTTCAACATTTAACTTTTTATGATTTCTCATTTTTTTCTGTTTGTTTATTAGTGTATTTAAAAAAAATATATCATTATTTACTAATTTTTGCATGTCATGTGTTTTATTGTGAAGGATACATTTAACAAATATTGTTTTATGCATAATAAATCCTAAATAGAAGAACTTGATTTATATGTTTTCATATTTTCAGAGCAGAAAAAAAGTAAGGGAGTGTCGTTTTTATTTTCTGTTTATTTTCCTCCTTTGCCACCACATACCGCTATTTTCGTGCACATTGCACAAAGTTCAAATCTCATCATTATTTTTCTGAACCAAGGGAGTTCGTGTGAAAACCGCCTGAACTATCTTGTAGCACCCTGTCCACATTATATATTGTCTATTATTATACAGGGTGTCCCAATGGTAATTCAGTGACGAAATCGATATCGTCTTTTTAAATAATTCTTTAATTTAGTATAGTGATACCTACTGAGAAAGCTGTAATCTGTAAGTGTTTCGTCTGCTATGTTCACATTTTGTTTGTTTATGTGTTTACTGCATACGGTTGTACACCAAACCAAGAAAATTGCAGTATACAAACAGAGTAAACATGGGGACTTGCGGAGCCCCCAAAGCCCCCCCCCCCCTCCTTCACCTCTGGATCATCCTATTCTCTGGAAACTTACTTTCCCTCTTTTTTTTTTTTTTACTTTTTACCGTTAAATTTGCCTTGCTTGCTTAAATCTAAAATCAAAATAATCAATAATGCTCATAAAGACGACATCGCCTAATATTAATGATTGATTGATTGAAAGAAATCTAATTTTCGCAGAATGCCGCAATTCTTTAAAAATCTTTGAGCCCAAAATGTTCGATCGAATCGTCAAAAAAACCGTAAAGAAACAATATAATTCGACGTTAACACAACTAGTTAATATTAAAAACAAGTTTTGAGGAAAATTATCAGAAGACATTGTTTAGAAAATGAATGTCAAATTTTTGTGTCACGTCATCATAAAATCTGACGTGTTGTCTTGAAAATTGACCTGAATTGTTATAACAGCTTACTGTACTATTGTTCAGACTGTAATTTATTCTCTTCAAATATTAAGCTAATTGTTTAAACAATGCTTTGTAATTTTCTAGAGAACGATTTTTGGACGCCCCCCCCCTTCTAGTCAATTTTGTACATGGATCTTATGTAACACATGGATATAATTGGTCATGTGGCCGCAGCGCCCGGCCCCTTAGCCGCGGCGCTGGGCCCCCTAACCTGTCCTAATCGCTGGGCTCGGCCCATGAAATTGTTCCAAAAATCATTCTCTAGGACAGACCCAAAGTTTTGAATAATAATTTAATTTTTTACTTAGTTTTTAATTTAAGACTGTACGTAAGATATTGAAATTCTGATCAATGTCAAGTATGTATAGATAGATAGCTGGAAAATCTTTAATTTTAAAACTGATAAAATGGCGAATTTTCAAACAATGGCTCTTCAGGTATTATTTTCTCTGTTTTATTCAATATCCTGCGGTATATTTTTTTATGGTCGACCCCTCTTGCCTCCTTTTAATCAACTTTGCACGCACGTCAATTTCAGGAATTTTTAATTTTTTTTAGCAATTATATTAATTTCCTATGTTGGGTCTGTCCTAGAAAACGCATAATGGACCCCCCCCCCCCCCCCCC